TATATGTATTTTCCCCCCTCCCAACTGCTACCATTGTCAGAGCCATAAACACCAGTGCTGATCATCTGCTAACAGTGCCTTCTTCCAATCCTTCTCCGTGGTTTACACAACTATTTACATCACTGTTTCTTTTCAAGCAAATAAAATCAAAATCTAACAGTATTAAACATTTTATGCAACAAGTAGCTTTCTTATTACACCATGGACAAATAAATCTGCTCTGGATATATGCTTTGAAAGCTGAATATATCACTCTTCACTAATGATTTATTTATTTATTTGTATTTTTAGGGAAGGGTCTACAGGGTGTTCGGGGTCTCACTACTAAATCGGACTCGTAGGGCTGGGGAGATGGCTCAGTAGAAAAAGCGCTTCCCTGGCAAGCACAAAGGCCTGAGTTTAATCCCCGGTTCTGCAAAATAAACAAATAAATAAATCAGACTTATAGTGACTCACCTGTTTACAGCCTCTCAAGAGCTGGGATTACAGGCGTGCCCCCATGCTGTCTCAGTGTGTCCTAGGGGTGGGGCCTGCATGGCAGGCCAGGGGATCAAACCCCAGCCCTTGTGCCTGCTTGCAGACTCTTCAATCCACTGAGCTCTTTGCTTGGCCCTCACTGATGATTACTGAAACCTGTGTATTAAATTTTTTTCTTGCACAAATACTGCCATTAGGCTGCTCTTAAAATCAAGTCCTTATTTTTGAAGTTTTCTTCTTTTCTTTTTTTGTAGACAGGGGATTGCAGGCCCTTGTGCTTGCCAGGCAAGCACTTATTCTACTGAAACATCTCCCCAGCCTTAGTGCTTTATTTCCATAGGAAAGATTTTCTTTTCCATGGGGAACTGACAAGGAAAAGTATATGCTTATTTTTTATTTTTATTTTTTTGTGGAACCAGGGATTGAACTCAGGCTCCTGCGATTGCCAGAGAAGCGCTTATTCCACTGAGCCATCTCCCTGGCCCCATACACTTATTTTTAATAAATACAGCCAGGTTACCTTTTTTTTTTTTTTGGACTGGGAATTGAACTCAGGACCTTGTGCTTGCCAGGAAGGAGGCATTTATGCCACTGAGCTATATCCCCTCCCCAGGTTACTTTCCCTAAAGGTTACAGTAATTTATGGCCCTACTAGCAAGGTTGGGAACACCTGTTTTTCCACAAGCTCACCAGCAACAAGTTGTGCTTATTTTTTTTCCCAGTTTGATGGTGAAAAATATATACTATACTTCATTTTGTCTTAATTTCATTGCTAATGGGTATTTTTTGAGATATCTCTTCTTTATCTTTCTTCTGCTTTTGTCTCTCTTGAATTTACAGAAGCTTTTTGTTATTAGGTTATGAATTCTTTGCCATAATACATACTTTTATTTTCCTTCAGTAAATCATTTAACTTTAACCAATCAAATATTTTACTAGCATTCACTACTTTTTGTCTTATGCCCTGATGGTTTCCAATATGCCACCACTAGACACAGGTTCCCCTAAATTTTTTTCTAGCAGTTCTTTATTTATTTTTGATCGTTAATCCAAAAGGATTTTATTTGTATAAGATGTTATATGGGTATCCAGCTCTACTCCCCAGAAGCATAATGACTTATACAAACTTATTGAATAAAAAAACATTTCCCAATATGTATTAAGATCTCATACACATTTGCCTTTCTTCCAGGATTCTATTCATATTCTCTTCTTAAAATCTACTTCTGGGTCAATATTTAGTCTTACCACAAATATTTTATAATAATTGTATTATAGTTTATATTAAAATTATAATAAATTTTAGTATCTATTAAGGAAAAGTCTCTCCTAACAGTCTTTAAAAGTACGGGCCGGGGATATAGCTCAGTAGATAGAGCTTGTACTTGCCTGGCAAGTACAAGAGCCTGAGTTCAATCCCTGGTTCCACCAAAAAAAAAAAATAGATGTAGTTTCATAATTTTTAAAATAATACTAGAAACCAGGAATATAGCTCAGCAGTGGAAGCGCCTGCCTGGCAAGTGCACAGTCCCAGGTTCGATCCCTGGTACAAAAAAAAAAAAAAGAGGGGCCGGGGAGATGGCTCAGTGGAATAAGTGCTTCCCTGGCAAGTGCAAGGGCATGAGTTCAATTCCCGGTTCCGCAAAAAAAAAAAAAAAAAGATGGGCATGGTGGCGCACATCTATAATCCCAGCTCTTGGGAGGCTGCAAACAGGTGGATCACTACAAGTCTGATCTAGTAGTGAGACCCTGGACACCCTGTACTCTTCCCTAAAAATACAAAAAACAAAACCAATAAACAAACTGGAGATTGAAGCTATTGCCCAGCCCACTTTATTCTCATTTTGAGATATTTTGTCTCCCTATATCACTAAACTGCCCAAGCTGGGCTCAAACATACAATCTTCCTGTCTTAGCCTTTCACAGAGAGAGTACAGGTGTGTCCCACAATGCCCAACTAACTTGAAAATAATTTTTTTATTGTATTTTTTAGGGAAGGGTCTACAGGGTGTTCAGAGGCCAACTACTGGATTGGACTCATAGTGATCCGCCTGTTTACAGCCTTCCAAGAGCTGGGATTATAGGCATGTGCCACCATGCCCAGTCTCAACTGCCATCTCAGTGTGGCAGGCGTGGAGATCGAACCCCCGGCCCCTGTGCCTGCTTGCAGGCACTTTAATCTGCTGAGCTATTTGGCTGGCCCTTTGAAAATAATTCTGACCAATTTGAAAAATAAAACACATGAATCCCAAACAATTTATATATTAATTAAGAAGGTAATATATTTTTTTTAACTTTTTTTTTTTTTCTTCAGCTCAGCCCACCAGGGGGCGGGGCTGGCTGGCATGTGGTGCTGGGGGCTTGAACTGCGGTCCCTGTGCTTTGCTAAGCTTGTTCTAAGTAGGTGTTTTAGACCACTGAGCCACCTCACCAGTCCCGGAAGTAATATTTTTATGATTCTAAAGTCTCTACAGCTAAAATCATAGGTTTCTTTTTTATTTTTTATGCATGTGGTACAGGGTCTCACTAGAAAGCTCAGACTCATAGTGATCCTCCTGTTTTCAGCCTCCCCAGCACTGGGATTAGAGGCCTGTGCCACCACACCTGCTCTTGGTGGCCGGCTCAGTGCACTGAGGGGCGGAGGCGGGAGCTGGTGTGCATGTGATGCTGGGAATCTAACCGGTCCCTGTCATAGGTTATTTTTATTTAGGTCTTATTTTTGTGGACCGCCATTAGATTTCATTCTTCAAATTATGTATGAGTGAAATGTGCCATACTTACTTAGAAACAGATGTTGGTATAGTTATGACCCAGAAACAGGCTTCCAGTGTCTCTTGGACATTCTACCCTCAGTCTTAATATCTCATTCATACTCTATTTATTCTCTTTATTGAGAGCCAGCTCTTTTCTCCTTTTAGGTCTCCTAACACTGTGTGTATGGCTGGATGTTGTGGCAAATTCCAGCACTCAGGAGGCTGAGGCAGGAGATCACTCTGAATTAGAAGCCAGACTGTGCTACACAGTGAGTTCAAAACCAGCCTGAACTACTTAGTGAGACTCTATCTCAAAAAACAATCACTCTTGTGTCCTTGCACTTTCACTGCACACTTTCACAGCTGGCATTGTGATGGCCTTGTTTATCTCCTGCACTACTAGCCCTACACAAAGCTTATCAGTTAATATCTGATGAATAACTGAGTTTTGTGTTATTAGGTTATGAATGAGCTCTTTTGAGCAGTTTTATCCTCCCAGGTAGTACTGTATATAAAGACGACAACAATTTGGTGTTCCTGACAATTTCCAAAAAATACACAGCCAACTTTTCAACCAAACTGCTTGAAAGGTCTGACAATAGCCACACCTACTGTTTTGTGGTATGCCATTTCATTTAGACAGGACCTGAACAAGCAATGTCTACATTGGTTTAAAATCCTGGGTACATTAGTTTTTCAGGACAGCTTCTAAAAAGTTATTTATTTATTCACTCAACAAATACATATTAAACATCTACTATGTACCCACTATTATTCTGTATGCTGGGGATAAAAAAGGTCAAAGTCTCTGCCTTTATGAAACTCTTATCCTAAGAGGAACATAACCAGAAACCACAAAATTTTCTAACATTTGTATGTTCATTATGTGCTGTTTGACAAGCCTTTTGTAAAATAACAAACTTAAACTTTACAACAACCCTATGAAATATGTTATCCTCATTTTACAGATGGAGAACTTTTTTTTTTTTTTTTTTCTGGAACCGGGACTTGAACTCAGGCCCTTCCGCTTGGCAGGGAAGCACTTATTCTATTGAGCCATCTTCCCGGCCCCCACATGGAGAACTTAAGACACAAGTAGTTATGTAACTTGCTAACATCACCTAGCTAATGAAATGTAGTGGTGTAGAATTTTGAAACTGGGAGTCTGACTCCAGATTATAGGCACTTAACTTTTGCACTCTGTTTTCTCCATAAAATAGTTTTAAGACATTATTTAGGGTTTTTTGTTGTTGTTGTTGTTTGTGTGTGTGTGTGTGTGTTTGTACCAGGAATCAAAGTCAGTATCTTGTGTTTGCCAGGCAGGTGCCATGCTGCTGAGCTACATCCCTGATCCTTTGAGGCATTATTTTTTTTTGGCGGAACTGGGGATTGAACTCACCCCTTGTGCTTGCCAGGGAAGCACTTATTCTACTGGGCTACCTCCCTGGCCAAACACATGTATATGTTTTATATTTTATTATTATTACTATTATTATTATTATTATTATTTTTTTTTTTGTGGTACAGGGGATTGAACTCAGGACCCTGCACTTGCCAGGCAAGTGTTTATTCTACTAAGTTATCTCCTTGGCCCTTTGAGGCATTATTAAACCATAATGAAGACTTAATGAGGGGCTGGGGAGACAGCTCAGTTGAATAAGCACTTGCTTGGCAAGTGCAAGAGCTTGAGTTTAATCTCCGGTTCCACTAAAAACAAACAAACAAACAAACAAACAAAAAAAACCAGACTTAATGAATTAAAGGGCTTTTTTGTGAGCTGGTCCTAGATCTAAGCAAAACATGAATCATGTGGCAAAACCTAGGTAGCACCAGAAGGGAATTAGTTTTTTGCCATCCCTGGGTAGCAAAGAGTTCAAAGCTGGCAAAGAATCTGCAAGAGTAACACTATAGCCTTGCTCTCTCTCACTATAGCTAGAGATCCCTAACCATACACAAAGGAAGGAAATTGTGCCTGGGGAATCTGCTTGTCTCTCCTGTAAGCTACCTGTTTTAAACAGCAATGTGCCTACACCTATGAAAGCAATAAGAAGATTGGGAATGGTGGGACACACTTGCAAGCCCACCTACTTGGGAAAATCACTTACTTGGGGGAGAATCTCAAGTTTTAGCTCTGCTCAGACAACTTCATGAGATCAGTCCCCAAATTTAAAAGGGCTGGGGGTGTACCTGAGCAGTAGAGTCTTTGCCTAGCATGTGTATCGTCTGAGGTACCTGGGTTCAATCCTCAGTAAAACATGCAGAGCGCGAGTGAGAGAGCGCGAATGCAAGAGAAAGAGAGCGAGCAAGCAAGAGCACAAGAATGCCAGCAAGTAAGCAAAAAATTACACTGAAATGAGGCCAAGTGCCCAGCACAATGAAAGGTAACAAACTGGGCTCAACTAAAACAAGCTCATTTACTGTGTGGCCTGTGCCATCTGCATCACCTCGACACTGAGAAGTGGTCCTGCAGCCCTGGTTTGCACTAGCTTGTGAAGCTGCTTCCAAGGAACTTGTGTTCACAGAAGTCACTCCAATAAGTGGCAGAACTGATACTCTGTGAAAGCAGTCTGGAAATTTCTGGAAGAACCCAGAACCAATCCTTCAGTCCTTCAATCCATCCATCCATTCATCCATCCATCCATCCTTCCTTTCCTCTCTCCTTCTCTCCCTCTCTCCCTCCCTCCCTCCTGGGGAGTAACCTAGGGTCTTGTGCATGCTAGGCAAGCATTTTAACACTGAGCCACATCTTTAGTCCGAGACCCAGAATCTAAATATGCAACAAAGAGGCTCCCTGAGTATCAACAGGGGACTTAAACTGTCCAGAATATGTACATGGAAATGCAAATTTCAGAAGACATAGTTTGATAAGATACAAGAAAACTTTATGACTACCAGAGAGGAGGTTTTTTACATGACTGTCAGAGAGAACGTTCACTTGCCATTTCAAAGGTAGCCCCATTGCGGCATTCGCATGTATGCACATGTATGCGTGGACATGAATTATTACCCAATTTCTCTTGGTACTTTTTTATTCAATGACCCACTTACAACTGTTGGTAATTTAAGATTTTATAAGGGGAAAGTGCCAGTGTCTCTATAATAGTTGCATACCATTTGATTGTTTACACACACTGCACTGGGTGTAGTGCTTCAGAACATAAAAAAAAAAAACATCTCTGCATTTAAATGTTAGTTAATACCCACAACTATCAAGTGTTAAAAGAATGTTTAAGCTGAAATTCTGAACATCTTACCTTTCACAAGTATAACACTCGCAGAACTCATTATTTTCCCCAAAAAATCCATCTCCGTAATAACAAGAAATTTCTTCTCCAGGTTCAATATCTCTTAGGGCCTTCACACATGCTGTATCTCGACCAGTTGACACAAACTGAAAGAAAAATAACTCATTAAGAATATGATAGAAAAAAAAAAAAGTCTGATAGAGGGCCAGGGAGATGGCTCAGTGGAATAAGCGCTTGTCTGGCAAGCAGAGGGGCCTGAGTTCAATCCCCAGTTCCGGGGGAGCAAGAGTCTGATAGATGAGGCAAAAACAAAATAGTTGAAAAGAAAATTTTAAATGCTTACCTTACAGTTAGGTCTGCAATCTGAAAAATGCCCAAAAGAAAAAGACAATTAATCACTGATATGATCTTAAACGCAAAGCTACCAAAATCTGAAAAAGCTTTTCAGACAATCTTTCAACTTCTGATAGAATTTAAGGTCTTAAGTTTAAGAATATCTAATAAACTTGTGGAGGGAAAAATAATATTTCAAAATCTTCTTTAAAGAAAACAGATTTTACTGACTCAAATAAGGCTATCCTATCTGCTGGTAGGACTGCTCAATACCAGGGCAATCACCTTAGCAATATAGCTTACCATGGTTTATAAACGCAGCAGGACCGAGCCAGAGTTGTGCACAGTTTTTCCTTGTGGAATACGTGACACTGAAGTCGTTTTCTCCATGTCTAAGTAGCATGTTCTCCTCAATTTCTGAAAGTTCGGCAATACAACCCACCAGTAATTCTATTTTGTCATTTCGTTTCCTATTTAAAATATGTGATGTGTTAAAAACTACTGGAAATTATAAGTACGGCTTCTTTTTAATAATAAAATAAGCCTGCTCAACAACAGAAATTGAGAAGCCCTACCTGTGTACACTTGGATCCCACCTGGGTGTCTCGCCTTCCTCCTTGAAGCCCCACAGCCTGGTACCATGGCTACCTGTTATCTATCCTACTTCCACAAGAGAATAAAAAGTCTTCCAGGACAGAAACTAGACAGCTAAGGCTCTGAAACCCCTGTGGCAACTAGCCTTGTTTTTCACAGATGGGAAGAAGTACTCAAAACAGTTCCTGCACTAGGTTAAACTTGCTGATGACCACTAACTGAATCAGACAGGGACTAACAGCATTTAAGGGTCATGAGGACCCAGAACTGTGTGATGTTACCAGCTCAAGTACAATGTGTACTAGAAATGTGATACCAACTTGCAACTTTTTTTTTTTTTTTAACTGAAAACTGAACCCATGCTAGGCAAGCACTCTATGACTGTATTCCCAGGCTCTGCCCACCAATTTTACTTTCAATTCGTTTCTTGCTAAATTGCCCAGACTGGGCTCAAACTTTTGATCCTCCTGCATCAGCCTCCTGTGAAACTGGGATAATAAGAATTTGCTCCTGTGCCTGGGCTCAAATTGAAATGTTAAGTTTTCTAGTAACTATGCTGAGAAAGTACAAACATTTTATTCTTATTTATTTATTTTCACTATGTGGTTCAGGCTGGCCTCAAACTCTTGGTGATCCTCCTGCATCAATCTCTCTAGTGCTGGGCCAAAGCCAGATCCAATTATTTTTAAATAACATCTTTAATCCAATATATCCAAAATACTATTTCAGCAGGTAATCAATATGAAAACTATTAATGAGAAACAATGCAATTTGCAGACTATTTATTTAATTTATTTAAAAAAAATTTTTTATTTTACATTTATTTAGTGTGTGTGTGTGTGTGTGTGTGGCCAACTCAGCCCACCAGGGGGCGCGGCTGGCTGGCATGTGGTGCTGGGGGATTGAACTGCCGTCCCTGTGCTTTGCTAAGCTTAGTTTGTTCCAAGTAGGTGCTTTAGACCACTGAGCCATCTCTCCAGCCCCGAGACTAATTTAGATTGGTCACACTACAAGGACTCAGTGTTGTAGACAGCTACTATATTGCATAGTGCAGCTCTAGAATGCTAGATCTCAAACCCACATATTTGGCCTGGTGTGGTGGTACACATGCTTATAATTCCAGCCACATAGCAGACTGAGGTAGTAAGAATACAAGTCCAAGGCCAGCCTAGGGCAACTGAATGCAGATGTAGCTTAGTACAGTGCTTGTTTGCTTATCATGCATGAGGCCCTGGGTTTGATTAATCCCCAGTATTAAAAAATAAGCAAAGCAAAGCAAAACTGAAGTTGAGAGAGGCTTTAAGTTTCTTCTTGGAGGAGATACAGAGCAGGCATTATAAGACAGACACATGTACATATTCTGCCTTTCATGTTTTATAGCTTTTAACTCTTTCTAGTAGGCTCAACGCTACCACTTTGACCCAAACAGATATAAGCATATTTTTTAAGCAGGTTACCTTCTGGGGTGTTTCTACACATAGATGACCTAAAGCCCTTGCAACTTCAACCCCACCATCTTCTCTGGAAACCAGTTCATCAATCCTGGCAACCTTGATCTTCCAGAAGGTTAAACACCAAGCAGGCTCAGTATCAGGAAAGCAAAAAACACTTTGGCCTATACATGGGAACTAATTCACTCCAACTTCAACCAGTGGGCCACAACAATGGCACTATGCTGGCTAATTTAGGGTAAATGCTAGCTTCAAACTTTACTAGACTGAATCTTTAATCTTTAAAATTTCTTTGTATCTTTAGAGTAACTTAACTAATCTTTAAATAAAATTACTTTATGGGTTTAGAATAGTATAATTACCACTCTTTTGTAGCAACTATTTTGGCTCCATTTTGTTCTGATGAATATCTATTACAAGGCAATATTTCAAATCCACTGTCAGTTGCAAACATTCGCAAGTAAATAAATACCTAATAGAAAAGAAAAAAATGACTGTAAAATGTTTATCCTGCTAGAATGCCTCAGTATTGTAAAAGCACACTACCAACACCACCAGCAATACCGTAAGAAACATAAGATTATTAATGACAAATTTTGTTATCATTATATTTCAGTATAATATTTAATACAGATATATTTCATAGACCAAAGGCTGGTCTATGTTTCTTTAAAACTCTAATTTTTTTCTTTTTGAGATAGGGCCTCACTATGCAGTTCAGGCTGGTCTTGAACTCTCAGCAATCCTCCTGCCTCAGCCTCCTGAGTACTGGGATTACAAGCATGTGTAACCATGGCTGGCAATTTTTTTTTTCTGCTTCTTTAAAAAATCTTTTGTCTTTCTTCTTTCTCTTTTTTTCTTTCTTTTTCTTTTTTTGGCGGAACCAGGGATTGAACTCAGACCCTTGCGCTTGCCAGGGAAGCGCTTATTCCAGTGAGCCATCTCCCCGGCCCCTTTTTTTTTTTTAGACAGGGTTTCACTATGCAGTTCAGGCTGTTCTTGAACTGTGTAACACAGGCTGGCCTTGAACTTCTTCCTGCCTCAGCTTTCCAAGTGCTGAAATTATAGGCATGTGCTACCATAATCTGACAGTTTTCTCTTAGTCATCTGAACAATCTTGTATGTTCTAAGATCTTCATGTTCACTAGCCTATGAAAAATGGACTTAAGGGCCGACCAGACAGCTCAGCAGATTAAGGTGCCTGCTTAGGCAGACCCAGGGGTCTGAGACTCGATCCTTGGCCTGCAACCCCTGCCAGCCCTGCCCCTGGTGAGCACTGAGAGGCAATCGAGATTGGGCATGATGTTGTACATCTGTAATCCCAGCATTTGGGAGGCTGAAAAACAGGAAGGATCACTATAAGTCCAATTTGTATAGTGAGACCCTATATTAAATATAT